GGTGCCTGGGGGGAGCTGTGCGAGGGCTGGGTTCCCCCCAACAAGGGGCAGGGTGATGTGGGGCAGGGGCTGAGCATTGGGGTGGGGGAAGCTGAGAGCTGTGCATGGCAGGGACCAACCCCTGCATCTGCCACAGCACAGGAAAGGGGATGTCACCACTATGCTGAGGGGGCATGACATCCCTCCACCATCACCAAGCTCTTGGGGCACAGGGGGGCTGCAGCAGTATCCCCCACCCCACTGTGGCCCTCAAGGGCTCAGCGTTGGGCTGTCCCCAGGCATCCCACCCCGAGAGCCACCATGGTAATGTCAGCTGGTGCGAGCTCCATCCTGGTGCCACTGGTGCTGCTGCTGTGCTGGGTGGTCCCCAGTGAACAGGAGCCAGCCCCGCTGCAGCTGCGACTGGTGGGGCCACGGGGCCCAGCTGGGGAGGGCCGGCTGGAAGTGCTGTACCAGGGGAGCTGGGGCACTGTCTGTGATGATGGCTTCGACTTCCACGTGGCCACCGTTGCCTGTCGGCAGCTGGGATACACTGCAGCTGTCACCTGGACCCACAGTGCGACCTACGGCCGAGGGGAAGGTAAGGAAAGAATGGGGAGCAGGGGGTCCTGGAGAGGGCAGCATGCTTAGTGCTGGCTGGGACAGCCTGGCTGAGGGGCTGGAGGTGCTGGCAGCCCATGAGGGGCACTGGATGGGGCCCATGGTGCTGGGGAGGGAGATGGGGACCCCCCAGCTATGACCCCCAACCTGTGCATGTCCCCTCAGGCCCCATCTGGCTGGATAATGTGCAGTGTGGGGGCAGCGAGAGCTCCCTGGCGGAGTGTGTCCACAATGGGTGGGGCACCAGTGACTGTCATCATGGTGAAGATGCTGGTGTGGTGTGCTCAGGACAGCGCCTGCCCAATGCATCCCCCCAGGCCACCACGTCTGGTCACCTGGGAGAGGTGAGTGCCCAGCAGGATGGCTGGGGTACTCTGGGGCAGGTCCCTTTGATCCTTCTCCTTGGCCCCATCCTGCACACCCTTTTCTTGATGCTAAGGCCCCTGTGTCCACCACAGCAGGTGCTGGGGCTGAGCCTGGAGGAGGTGAGGCTCAAGCCCATCCTGGCACGGGCCAAGCTGAGCGTACCGGTGATGGAGGGTGCTGTGGAGGTGAAGCACAATGGGCACTGGAGGCAGGTGTGTGATGCTGGCTGGACCAGGAACAACAGCCGTGTGGTCTGTGGGATGCTGGGCTTTCCCCGGGAGAAGAACATCAACACCAGCTTCTACCGGTAGGGATGTGGGAAAGCCACTTTGCAGCTGTGAGGCATGCAGGACAGGGTGCCTGGATGGACATGCAGTGGGAGCAAGAGATCGGGGGTATTAGGGAAGGGATGCACACGTGGGTGGCTGTGCAGGGTGCTGGTATGACCTGACCATGCCTGGGTCCCCTTCTTGGGGACTTGATGAGATGCAGAGTTGGGCTCAGCAGCAGCCCGGTCTGTGGGGACAGCCACCAGTCATGGCAAGCGAAGTGTGGGTGGAAGGAGAGGAGAAGCAAGTGATCCTCAGCCCATCCACCCCTGCCTTGTACTGGGGCTATAAATACAGACTGTAATGAGCCCCTGTGGGTGCCAGGAGTTGCACAGTCCCGCCAGGGCACACGGCACAGCCAGGCTTGGCACGGTAATTGCCAGTGGGGAGAGAGCCTGTCCTCACCCTGCCATGTTGTAGAAGCACTCCTCCAGCTCCTGCCAGGGGGTTCTGGGAAGGGCAGGAATGAGGGGGTGGAGGGTCCTGAGTCAGGCAAGGTTGGCACAACAAACCCCCTTGACTTCCTGTCTCCTTATACTCTAGGAAACTCTGGAACATGAAGCTGAAGGACTCAAACTCCAGGTAGGGCTCAGCCCTCGGCAGGGCAGGCAGGGGCACTCTAAGTGGGCACCCAATGCCTGTGTTGAAGTAGAAGAGTATCCAGCACCCAGGCTGATGCCAGCCTCTGCTTCTCTCCCTCGGCAGCCTGAAGACCCTCAGCCAGAAGAACAGCTTCTGGATCCACAGGGTGCAGTGCCGGGGCACGGAGCCCCACTTGTCCCGCTGCCCCACACAGGTGGCCCCACCAGCCCCCCACCAGCATGCCTGTCCCCGTGGCATGCACGCCATTGTCAGCTGCCTCCCCAGCCCTGCCTTCCAGAAGGGCACAAGCAAAGGCAAGAGCAAGACCTCCTCAGGAAAGGTGAGCCCCAGCATGGTCCCACACCCTCATCCTACTGATGAAGGCTCTTGGAGCCAGACAGCACCCAGCCATCCCATTTGCACCCATGCCTGTGGTGCAGGCAGGTGGCTGTGCCTATGACCACTGACCATCTGTTCCCCATGCCCAGATCCTCCCAGTACGGCTGCGAGCTGGCACCCACGCCGGTGAGGGCCGGGTAGAGGTGCTGCACCACGGGCAGTGGGGGAC